ATATACAAAGAGGAGGAGTGGAGAGGCGGCCGGTCTAGTATCTAGTACGGCGTGGCGTGAAACTTAGATAGTGATCTTTTAGTGTAAACTTGATTCGTTCCCGGTACCCATATGCACATGCGAATATTGCGCCTAGACATACACAAATTGTAAAACTGTGTTGCTGATAATGTCACTAAACCTGAAATGCCTTTTGTCATCGGGTCGCTAGAGAAGGTATTAAAATCAGCGGACTGCGTAGGTCCTTCGGTGACCTGCTGTTATCGTAGTCTAGCGCAGAACCTGGCATCAGCTCGACTTTTTCCCGCTGACCATACTTCTGGTAATCATCTACTTCATCTTTCATTTGTGGACACGAAGCGGATTAGTGGTTGGGAGCAGACGATTGGTCATTGTTTCTTGCCGCTTATCGGGTATTGCGGAAAAATTGAAGTTTATCATAGAGAGACCAACATCCTTTTACAACAATGTTAATCCGTAGCATACTCTATCTGAGTCGAATCCGAAGCAGGATGAATCAATATAAAAGTTTATCAACCAAGAAGACACCCATTGCGCTGTACTATATCGCTACGATACTCATCTTTATCGAAGCCCTGGGGGCTTCTTATGACACTGACCGCGATTCATGAAAAGTAAACACCGTAATAATAGAGGTCAACTGAACAGAGATGATTCTCGCTGACAAATTGGCAAGTACGACGCATATGAAAATTGAAAGGAAGTAGTTATAACTCCTTGCCAATCTACACTCAATCTTGAATTTTCCTTAAGCCTTTAAATCACCCAAAGCGATTTTGGGGCGAAGCCATAATATCAAAAAAAAAAAAAAACTCTGTTAGAAGTTATTGGATAGATGCCAATCGTTTAGTACCACTAGTAGCTATTGAAAGAATGATTCTTTTTTCTAATTCGATTAATACAATTTAACATTTTGAAAACAAGAAACAAACTCGTCTACACCATGATCCTCATAGGTAGGCCGTGAGTTACGAAGTTGATGTAATATCAGAACAGAATCATCTCACTTCAGAACGAGAGATCATTCGATCGCCACAAGCGTCTGCATTCACGATACACAACAAACATTCACTCATATGCTTTACTCTGTCGGATCTTCAGTATATACGAACTTCATACATACATACATACATACATACACATATGTATGCCCCCTAACCCAAAAATGGGTCGTGATTCTTACCTCTCAACCCAAATGAACATCGGAAGTTCATCAGTCCATTTATTACTAATATATAATCAGATGGTATACACTCTACTAGCTATGCATGTTCCGTATACACATATATACATGCGTGTCGTACACTTCGTAACGAAGTTAAAGATTTCGTTTGTTGATTAAAAAAAAGCAGCAGCGGCCAGCTATTTATTTTTAAGGTGTTGAATGTTTTGGTTCTGAAGAGAGGCAATGCTAAGGGCGTAAGATTTCTAAGTTCTTCTAAATGTTATTATTCAGGAAGGTGCCATGAACATTCGAAGAAGACGTTGGATCATATTGAGATAAAAGGGAGATGCCAGCCGAGTATTTCGAAAACGTAAAGTCCTTTCGTCTGCTATCCGAGGGAGGCACCGCTCGCTAGGATAGAAGCTTCTCTAGACGAAACTTAGTTACGTTATTGAATTCAATTGTACACGCAATTGTTGTGGTCGATCAATAATAGCAAAAGTTCAATAACAATAGCAACAACAACATCTGTAGTAACAACGGTGATATAGCAACAACGATATATGCATAACAAAATTATGATATTTTGGCTATATAATAATGATAATTATAGTGTTCGGAATATAATGTACTTAGCTACTATTACAGTTATTATATTAACCATATGCCCAAATATAATAATCACATCACCAACACACGTTAATAGTGCCTCTTCAACAACAACAACAACAACAACACCAATTGTTCCGTTCAGTATGCATACATACAAACACGTACATACGCGAATGGACACGCAGATCCGCCTAGGGGCGCATTCTAAGGGACAAATTATACCAGACACACTCTCAAAGGCTCGATACATACAATGCAATGTATGTAAGCATCCTAGCTGTAAAAGATGACCAGTTCCCGAGTCATAGCTTGAACTCCGTTCTTTCCTAATACGTTCATCAATCGAAAAGAACTCGCACCTACTCGTTGGTCGATCAGAAGGTAAAGGGCGCAATGAAAAGGCCAGTTTTCTCCTACCGCTCTTAAAGATAATGTCGAGTTCTACAGAGAAATTCATAAAATTTTTCGATATTTTTTTGTTTGCAGTACTTTAAGTGTTTCCGCTTGTGAATATGTGTGTCCATCGAAGCTCGTCTGTTCTGAATTCCACTAAAATGTAACACCCGATGACAAATACAACCCCACAAAAAAGGCAACCCAGTAGCAATAACAGGATCAACAACACAGTTAGCAAAACGGTCATCGTTCACTAAATCAACGTCGCGTGGGTCGGCGAGCCAAACATCCCCATTGCGTCGCCCCCATTGTGTCTGACGAATGAATATTTATCATAGCATTCCCAGAAGGGCGAGTCATCCGTCGACGACCCGACACGAACGCGCATACAAATATAGATGGATATACTCTTCTTTTTAATATACTGTATATGTATAATTGTAGTCAGCCATTGTTCAAACGCCCGCTTTATCATCGCTAGAACGATCGAGCGGAATCCAGTAACGAAGAGGGGAAGTAGATTACCACGTAGATTTTTCCCAGATTAGTTAGCGCTATTACCCTTTATGGATATTCCGCTCAATGGTCATTCTATCTTCTTTTCTGCAATCCTCAGCTTTTTCTTTAGCCTAAGCGCGCTTTCTTTTGCAACTCGTATCATCATCATTGTTGATAATATCATCAATATAGCGCATCAATAATGTATATAGCTTCCGTCCACCATCATAAGAATTCTTCTCATTGCTATTACTTCCTAATAACATTATTATGATTATAATAATTATCATCCTTATGAATATATGTTTTACATACATTATATACGCACACACGGTACAGTACCATATACGAACAACAAGAACAACAAATAGCCTCCACTTTTATCTCGATTTACGCAAACTATACAGAATCCATCCATCCATTCGTTGCCGTCGTCAAAACGTGCGCCATCATTTACATTCACCTGCGTGTATTTACCTCCATTTAATAATCGTACACTAGGTAGGTAATAGATCATCGTCATCATTATATAATCAATAATAGACTTCTACCTATTTTTATATATATATATGTGTATATATATATATATATATATATAAGTATGTATATGCATTTTCATCTTAATTGTCGTCCTGTCTCTCTATTTTTCTTCTTCTCAACCTTCTATCTCTAGCTAGTATTAGTCCACTCCCCCGTCCGCCGTTTTTGTGAACTCCACAAATCTAAAAGAATCACTGTCACCTGCACTAGATGCTGTCATCGATCAACATTAATTAGCGCTTCGTGAGTCACCAAAGGGAGTGGAACAAAGCTGGTCTTCGAGTTGTTGTCCAAGGTTACTTATCCAGGCCGCGGTCACCTGGCTGTTTCTGGATTTGTTGTAGCCGCCCTTGTCACTCGTAAAATCCTCTCTTTAAAAATATACCAGCCTCGTATGTTTACGGAAACGGGATTTGGGATTATCGTCGATTGGGGATGCTGCCGGCGGAAATATACAGTGTAGCTATCCTTCTGCAAACCTGTCATCTTTATAAAAGGAATTCAAAGGTTTTCTTTTTTCTTTTTCTTATTACCTGCAGACTTCATTCATTATTCTTCAACCTCCATTATAGATATAGAACGCCTCTAGCGGCTGCAAAGGTGTCAGCTCTTCGCCGTTAGGGTAACCTCAGAAGGGAATCTGACGATGAAGGTCTCCGTCCCTTTGCGATCCACCGACTGAAGCCACGTACTTACAAAGTATAGCACACTATACATGTACTACCATATCCTGCCATATGTCTAGAAATTGTATGCCTATGCTTCTCTAAATATTTCTCAAGTTTTTCTTATTCTTCATACACAATTTCGGTATACTTAAGTATTGGCATTGTTGCTTCGTTCTCTATCACTCTTCTGCCGCTATATCTCGCCTGCAATCGCGGTTACTTACTCTTTAGACAGGTCGTCGCCTCCACAGAAACAAAACATGATCAGATTATATGTTAGCGCATTTCGAGGTCCACCTTCTGCACGAGCGCACCCACTCTAACAGAGTTTGATGTTTCAACAGTCAATCACGTTACGCTTGTTTTGAGTCTGTCCTTTGCCACCGCCCTTCGAAGCTGTAGCCTGTCTCGTGTCGTCATTCCATTTCCTATCTCACTGCAATGGTCCTTGAGGATATTGTAAAGCCTGGGGCTGTGCCGAACCTCGCAAATGCGAGGCGGCGGCTGGTCCTACACCACTGGGACCCATTCGAGGGCCAGGTCCGAGACCCCCTACACCGACATTTACACCCACACTTTGCCATTTAGCTGCAGGTTGCAAACTGACGTTTGGAGGAGGAACCTGATAGAGGAAAATCGTAGACAAATGACACGCAAGTATCCAAATTAGCACGGAGGAGATCAAGAAAAAAAGCCAAACGTATAGGGAGTATCGTGTCATTCATTAGGTCAAGTTCTATAATCTACCACCATAAAACACTCGTAAGTCTTCATTCGTAGCAGTCAAGAACTCTGAACTGGAAAAAAAAGACTGTATCTGTCATGTTTATCATGGTCATATACACCGGTAGTACCATCCAAAACTATTATCGAGACTGGTGATTCATCTTCCATGAATATTCGAAGTGGAACTTCAGTACTACTGCATAAAGAAGCGCACACACCAGTGTAACGCATTACACTCTCAGTCACACGACGATCTTGTCAAACTCACAAAAGGCCAAACGTTTGAGAATAACGTACCACGTCATTGACGTTCGGAAGTTGCATTTGCCCCTGTTGGCTAGCTAATGATTGCTGCTGCTGCTGCTGCTGTTGTTGCTGCTGCTGTTGCTGTTGTTGTTGTAACGATTGTTGAACAGTGGCTAATTGTTGCTGCTGTTGTACCCCGGGCTGTTGTTGAATGTGCAATAACGCTTGTTGGTGATGCTGGCTGTTCCCATGATTTTGACCGGAAATATGTTGATTTTGTTGGTTGGTTAGTAAGCGCATCTGCTGCGTCTCGAGAAATTTGGTCCGTTGATGAAGCTGTTGTTGCTGCTGCTGCTGCAGTTGAAAGTTCGCGGTCGAAACGGTAGGCAACCCGCCTGTAATAATTTGCTGTTGACCTGTTGTCACCATCTGGCTATTTGTAAGTTGCCCCTGTTGAGCAGCGATTGTACGCAGCTGGGCGCGCAACAATGGCGAAGGTAACTGGCTTCCGACTTGAGTCATTTGTTGCTGACTATAGCCGCCTATACGAGGCGCCATCTAGGAAAAACAGAAATCGAACAGCATCGAATAGGGTTAAAATGAACAGAGGGATCTTTTAATTAGCGATTCCACTATGGCGACAATGGCGACATCTAAACAGGATGCAAGTTCATTCAATGTCGATCCGTCTCTGCAACTAACAATGCAACAACTACTCAAGGGAACGTATGTACACTTCACAGTAAACCTTACTATAACGTATAACACCGTATAACGTCAATAATCTAAAAATTTGCTCGAACAATATAGGCGATTTTCATTTGATATCTGCATATTCGTATAAAATCATACTTGTTGTTGCATTGACGTCGTCGAGCCTCCAGTCATCTTCAGCTGCTGCTGCTGCTGCTGCTGCTGTTGCTGCTGTTGTTGTTGTTGTTGCTGTTTTATGAGGAGGCCATGCTGCTGTTGCTGTTGACCCGGCTGGAGCTGCAGCTGTTGATGCTGCTGTGGAGTCGTGCCGCTTCCCATCGAATGCACTAGCAGATGTGGTGATTTCTGGCCGCTCTGCTGTTGTTGCTGCTGCTGCTGCTGCTGCTGTTGTTGCTGCTGCGGCTGCTGCTGCTGCTGCATTGGCGACTGGACTGGCAAAGGACGATTGCTTAGTGTTATAGTTTGGGCGTTGCTCTCAAAGCTCATGAGCTGCCTTTGGATGGCCGAGATGGCCTGTTTCGCGTCTACTCCACCCATTAGCGGAGCCGCTGGTGTCCGGACGTCTTCGAGATCGTCGAGTATCTTCTGCAGTAATGTTGTATCCTCCTGATTCTGTTGCTGGATTGAGGGCTGTTGTTGTAAAAGCTGTTGTTGTTGCTGTTGTTGTTGTTGTTGTTGCAGCTGCAGCATGACCTGTTGCTGCTGCTGCTGCTGTTGACTGGGCGGTAATGAAGGAAGTGGTGGAGACACCCCGCCACCTATAGGGACGCTCGGAGGAGATGCGATCGACATCACCGAGGCTGAAAGTAGTTATTTTTTCCAAAGAGGAAATATTGCAAATTGTTATGATTATACTATTGGCTTTGTATTTGATAAGTAACAATATAAATGAAGAAATTAATAATCATTTAATTAAATCCAAGCTTTTTTGCTAAGACCGTATGAGCTCTCTGTAAAAGAGAAAGCGGCAACAATCGGTTCGAATGTTTTAGAAGTAAATTAGCCCTATAATTAATTTTTCGCTGTAAGCAAATATTGTCTATACTTTATTTGCATTACACCTACGCGGATTGGAATGTGTGTCGGTATTGTCCTGAGTCGGCGTATGAGCGGCAAGGGGACTTGGGGCGGATATACCGCCTCCGCCTCCCTGAGGTGTGTGGACAGGACTGCGGATACTGATACAGCCACCTTGACTGCCTGGATGCCGCGGTGAAGGTGCTGGTGAAGATAGAAGACTCTGTAACGCTGCCTGAGGGCCGGGTGACTGTGAAGGCGGAATACTTAGAGGAGACACGAGGCTAGCCCTTGTTGCACCCAAGGGACCACCTAGGTTGCCCCCTGTTGTCCCGCTGACTGGTACCGTGCTGCTATTGCTGTGCGGATTTATATTTAACAGGTTCTGAAGGTCAAAAGTAGCATCACATCGACAAAGAGACAAACGATCGATGTATTTCTGTTAATAATCTTACATAGGAGAGCTGTTCTAACGTCTTATACACCGAGGCCTAATTCGCGAGTAGACCAATGTTAAAGTAATACTCAACACGAGTTCTTATAAAAGCTGTAGTTGGACAAGCGCAAAATCCCTTAGAAAAAGAAAAAACTTATTGTTTAATCCACCTGTTGTTGTTGTTGTTGTTGTTGTTGTTGAGCGGGGTTCGTCGTGGCTGTAACCGGTGTCGCTGTGGGGTCCATTAGTGGACTAGAAGGCTGTGGTGTGCCGGGCGGATTGAGTGCGGTGGGCGTCGTGGGCTGAGGCGTATGTGGCGTCGGTGGACCATGAGGCGTGTGTGGAGCGTGACTTGGTGACGGTGAAGGAGACGGTCCATACTTCAGCTCCTCCTCTAGCGTCCAAACCTCATCGAGAATCTGGGACAACAGTGGATCGACTGGCCCGCTGCCGGGATCCACTAAGGACCCGGTGCCTACGGCGCTAACGGCAGGACCGCTAGCTCCAGCAACCGACATGGGAGGACCAAAAAGCGCAGTAGGACTCGTGACTCCGCCGCCTGCACTACTGCCTCCGCTGGACGAACTTATAGGAGCTGCAAGAATACAAAAATGAAAACAGTGTGAAGAACAAACGCCTACCATAAAAGAAACCTTAGATCAATGTCGATATAGCAGGGTTGAAGCGATATGTGCAAGACAATCAAGATATGCGTGCTACAAATAAAGCAATGTTTCTTCATCGCGATTTACAGAAATATATGCGGTTACTAGTCGAATGCATGTATGTGATGAATGCATAGACTAGGTCCAGTTCCACGGGATACGTAAGAAAGCATGCGGCACTTACCGTGACTGCCCAGTGTCATGGATATGTGCGCGTGAGGATTGACTGTTGATGATGTGGAAGTTGTTGGACTTGTGCTTGCTCCAAGACCCTGAGAAACGCCCTGACCTCCGTTCTGACCGTTGCCGCTCTGTGAGGTCGGCGGCGGCGCTGGGGTGGGCAGGAGTTTCTTCTCGAGGTTCTTCGGTAGCCGATCCTGGGGGATCTGGGAGACGATTGCGTTAGCGATCGACGTAGGCACGTTGGCGACGGGTCGCGGGGTCTGTGCTAGCATCGAGGCCAGCATGGGATTTTGGCCGGCGAGGTGCGCCTTCGGTCCACCCTCCGTCTTGATGCGTTTTGCTGGCTGCGTTCCATCCAACAGAGGACTCTCACCGACCTGAGCATGGCCAATCCAGCGCCACGATGACGAGTCGGACATTACGAGGTGAACGCAGAGAAAAATAACAAGAACAATTCAGTGCAAATATAGCGAGCACTCTTTAGTAGTGAACTTCGCACTTCCCAGCTGCTCGGTGAAGCTTGAAAAATCTCACCAAGCCCATTCTAGCATTTAATTTTGTTCTTTTGTCATGCCACACCGAACGCCGATGCATGCAATCTATGCAGAGATTTCAATCTAAAAGTTAACGACGAGTTCCACTGCGCCAGACATAACGTGTACGGCCAGCGATATTTGTACTTGCTTAGTGTATCCACCGGAAGCGGGGTCCTCGAATTGCTGACTGAACAAGCCTTTATGTCAAGTAACTATCAATGATAACACCGCCACAATAATCGTATATTCAGACATTTGGGAGAAAAAAAATAATAGAACAACATGATTCTAGCACGACCATCTAATAGAAGCTAGCGGAAGAAAGCACTATGACGATTAGTGTGTATTTTTTAGAATACATATCAAGATACTGGCCAACCCGCCTCTAAAAGTTATCCATCGAATAATGGAAGATGTTTATATTAATTGCTGGAACACGCAGACGGGCCATAGTCGTAGTGCCCGTACTATATGCGTTGGATTCGACTTGAACAGACCGGTGAGAAGGGCACTGGGATAATATACGAGTGAAGCCGAATAACACCGCAACAGTTATAAAGACGTGAAGGTGATCTTAAGAACGAACGTTCTGAGTAGATACTCTGATGCGTCTCGATATTGGAACGTTTGGTGCTTTCGAACCCAGGAACGGACGAGCGTTTGTTTTAAAAGATCAATGACTGCTAGTGGTAACTAATGAAAATAGGCGCGTTTGACAACGATTCACTGCTGTTTTAACCAGTCTAGAAACCGAAATGATGCATTCGATAATCGTAAAGCGGATAAGTAATACGATTCGTAACTGTAGATGACAACGTCAAATATAAACCGGCATCCGGAAATACGCACCGCTTGGAAACCTGGAAACCGCAAAGCTGAAAACACTTAGTTTCACAGGACGGAACAATACGGATGACTATTATAGATGTGGGTGACGCGTGCGTTGGTTCTGGGTAGAAGCAAACAGAACCCGTATAAAATCTCTTTAAAAAAAGATTACACTGCAATTCTACTAGACAATGCAGAAGGTCTTCTATATGTGTGCGGCCGTACGCTGACACTGCTGAACAATGTCGTTTAGTAGTGTTCAAATAACGCTACCCATTCCAAACGGCCGAGGTCACTTGTTATGGGACATTTGAAGAGTTGTATATAAATTATATACCAAATTTTTCTTTGTTACGTCGTCGAGGCCGTGTTGTGGACACTGGCATCGAAGGCGGCCTCCCTGTTTCCCTACCTTTCGTGAAAGGATGACGCTGAGTTTATGTTCCTGCTTAACAACCACTTGGTCAAGTCCAGGCTCCCCGGACGAGTTCAGCAGTTGCTTGAGGATTGTGTTGGTCTGCTGCTGACCGCCGACTGTCGTTCCCAACGATGGCGATGAACTCGAGTTGCACCCTAAATAATAGGATGAAAGAAAATCACAAGCTAGACCTAAGAGTAGAATTAAAAAGTTAGCGCAGAATTAAATCACTCGGCTAAGTCTTAATGGAAGAATCGAATGGGTAAAGCTGTGTTATCCACCAGCGCACTGTTCTCTCCGCAAAAATCCGGACTCCGAATTTCCGGAAAAATTCTCCTGATTCGCCCGTTTAGAGTACCTAACCAGGCAGCTCCTTGAGGCAATGGTGAAATAACGCTACCCAGGTATATTATCAAGGATAACGGCTGTAAGTCAACTTTGCAAAAGTTTTAGAGTTACGTCTCCGTACTTTCGGAGCAATAAGGCAAACCCCTTTGAATAGAGCTTTTTATCCCGTTTCGAAGCAATGAAGATCTGCCACTCTCAGCAGCTACTCAGTTGAAGCGCACGTACTTGCGCGTCATTGCACACACATGTACTACGCCAAGGTCACCATCCTAGCAGGTCGGACACGCATCTTGTTTTTCCTTAGTTATATATATATATACATATAACATGAGAGGAGCATGGATTATATTATAATAAAAGATGCTGTAATTTAATACATACATTGCCTATAAGTAAAGTGCTCCACATGTCCGTAACATTCACAGCGTATACGAACCTGACTTTCCCTGTATCAATAGATTACGCAGCTTCTCCGAACTCGAGCCGATTCCCACCATGTTGAAGGTATTCCCAGCGGCCACGCCTTGCTGGCTATTATTGTTTCCATCGTTGCCGGCCAATCCCGTAAGCGGGAGACCACCGAGATGAGGTACAGGCGTGCCTGGCGTGGGTGGCTTTGGCGGCGCAGCACTACCAAGGGCGATGGACGTAGTTCCTTGCTGTGTCGACATGGATTGCGTCTTTACTCCACTGCCAGTGTTTTGCGTGGTGTTGCTTTGGTTAGGGTTGTTCGCTGAGGGCGGACCAACTATTGCCCCTAGGGGCGTGTGACTTCGAACTGGATTAACCATTTCGTCTGCGTGCGTCGACGGGACATCCTAGTTAATAATGTGAGAACGATTTTAGAAGAAATCTACCTTGGTAAAGATAGGATATACCCCGCTATAATGTAGACAGAAGAAACAGGGTTACGACAGTTCTTTTTGGTGTAACTCTTTATAGGATTTACTAAAGGTAAAGACATATGCCCTAACGAAGGACTGATAAACAACGTCTCATAAGAGATACGCATGGATTTTGAATCTGGTCCTTCCTTCCTTCGACTAATGTCACGTTTCTTAGCATTAATCAATCTAGTGCGCTCCTTATATCTGACGACTGATCAAGTAAAACTATCAATATTTTTTTCCAACTGTATCCGTTTTTGAATACCATCCACGATTGATAATAAAACATCACAAACAATAAGTCACCTTGATTATGGAGTGTACAGCGTTAATGAAGTCCGTCTCGTTATTTCTAGCAGACGGCGTGAACTTCTTCGATTTGGTTTGTACGTGAATCGACGGATTTTCCGGTCCGCCAGGTCGGAGAACATACACTGATGACGTGTGTGCCCCTGTTACTATTGTTTGGCTGAGGTGGTCATTGAGTCTGTCCCGGTCAACGTGCGTATCGCAGGCGTCCTTTAATAGTCGACCCTCCGGAACGCCGTGTTTGAGCAGATTAGCGTATCCAGCACTCAGATTTGAAAGATCTATTGCGATCTTTAAAGACCAAACAAAGCTTATTAATTATGAGCTCTTTTTATATAAGATTATCACACTGTTTTAGTCTAACAGTCGAGCTTTCCGCATGTTCACATTGCGCAGGAGACTTGCTTCATATATTGACTTTGGTGCAAAATTTTACCCGTAGCAAATGACGCATAGCAGATTAATTACGTATTTTTTTTTATTTAGCGCGCAATGCAACGGGGACACTTACCACTCTGCCTGTGGTATCAAGCCGTGTTGTAAACTGTTCGACTGAGCCTATACTGGACGGCATTGTACCGCAGCCAGTTATTGCAGGTAGGGCCTTTTTAACTCCTGTAACGTACACATATGTTATGCAAATGTGTTATATACAAACTTTGGGCTTGAACCTCGATGTTTTTGGTAAGGACTATATGCAGTTCCAAACAGCCTTCCCGAGCTATTTAGGTCGTCAGTCTATGACGAAAAAATATGTTAACACGATGTCTTCTATTTCACGCATCGTATGATGCATACTAACGCTTTTTATATTATTTAGGCATGCCTTGGAAATAAGCTCAGTTTTAAATATTGTCGCTTGAGCCTAAAAGTAACTGGAAAATTATTTTCATTTTTAAAAACTCCTACACAACGGCTCCTCAAGTGACCAGTTCAGCTGAGAAATCGAACTTGAAAACGCTGTCTTTTTCCATGTTTTTCTTTGCTTCACCAGGTATATTTATTTATAGCTAACAATAACATAATTGGTTTGCTACTTCGGGAGATCTAGTTCTTAATTAATAGCTGTGATATCTGAAGTGTTATTCTAGATTGGAGTAACTTTTTTTTACCACATACAAGTAATGACGAAATTAGAGATAATCCAGGGATCAACAAAACAAAGGGGAAATTTTAAAAGAGAGCTCGTTAGCGTCACGTAAAAATTCCTTTGTCTGCTAACCGTCATTGAGCGCCCCGCTTGACGACTGGGGCAACAACTCGTTGCTGGGTAACCTTCGGACGAAACACAGTAGACAGTTGCCTTGCGGTACGCCTGAGCCGTTACCCCCGGCTGGGGTAAGAATAGCACTAACGTGCATGTTCACAAAAGACTCTGCAAAGGTAACAAACACAAGTGTTTGCGTTAATTTCGTTTTGTCCTTTGCTTATTCAAAGTAAAATAAGAAAAGCCCGTACTAACGAGCACGAAAGAGGATTAGAAGCTTCAGGATATTAGACAGAAAGATACAACTGTAAATAGTACTCGATACGTTCTTGAACATTTTGTCGGGAAATTATTATAGTGACCTTCCAGACTATTGTAAAATGATTAACACATTTGGTGGGAGCAATATTATCTAAGGCTACTTCAAACCGTTTTCACTCAACCGCGGGTTGGAAGACATGTTATCCAATGGTACTATTATGTAAGCATCTTAGTTTTTGAGCAACTATATTCAAGATCGTAACGTGCTAGCGTACCACAGTGAGTAGACGGCAGAATATTGTATGTTTTATATTCATTATATCAATCTAAACTTCTCGTTAAAATAACAACAATTCTTGCAAGTAGCAAGCTGACAGCTCTCTGGCTCCCTTAAGTCAATTCTGTTATCAATGTAAGCGGCACGTACTCTGGTGACTGTTGGGTAAAGCAATGACGCTATGTGTCTGTTCGGAGTCAGCGGCCGTTAGCGGATCGTCCTCTGGACCATTAGTGTTGAATCGGCAGAAAAATGATCGGGTCTTCTGAGGATTCAATAGCTGCAATCATCACCAGAAAGAATAAACAATATGATCAGTTACGTCCTGGACACGATATACAAGACATATGGCAAAGTCGCGAGGCCTCGAACGGTTGTGACAAACGAAGATATGCAGCATTAAGATTTCTAGAAGCATTAATAGTAAATAAATGTCATCGATTAGTGTTGAAATGCCGAGCGTAGACACCGTTGCGCGGAGTTTAGTAGAACGCATATTATTCTGGAAATGTTTATTTGAAGAGATCGGTATACATAGGTTCAAAATCAGACTTCAAGCGGAAGCATGAGTAGCGCGTACCTGTTGAGTGTCAGTGCTCTGTATAGGTAAAAGATTGCTTGAGAATCGCGCCCGGTCTGCGGGATGAACGAGGCTGTAGATGGTCTTCGATTCAAGGGACGCGGGCTCGCAATTGAGGAACATGTTCACGTTCTGAAAACGGCCACGCCATTCACATATCAACATTTATGATTCAAGAAGACCGCTGGATAAACATTATCCACCACAGAGCTGTGATTCGAATGAAAACGTAATGCACTAACAGAAATATATTCATTTATTAAACACTTTCTATTGAGCTAAAAAATGGAGCTAATAAAAATGTCGCGTTTGTAATACATACCTCTGATACAAAGTTAACATTCCCCAAAGAATTGATAACAAGGAAAAAGGCATTGAGTGCTTCAAGAACTAAAGGACCGAGGATATCAGCGCCGAGTATGTTGGCCTTTGATGAAGACACCTGGTTGCCCTGAAACAGGAAAAAACGTGCAATACATCATTTCCATCTGATACATACATGTTACATTAAATGCTTAGATTTCATGTTCTCACATGATGTTATCTATTTAGCATTAGGTCACAACTCCAGGGAGGAATTTAGAAAAAAAAAAAAACTTTAACTTAATCTAGGCCATCCCTTAAAAAAATTGAATTAAAAAGGCCCCATTTCTTATCATGCTGGGCGCACGCAAGTTGATGTGTGCGCACTAGCTCCAGCTGGAGCCTAGAAGTGTAGAAGAGTCCGTCGAATCCTTGAATAATATATAGATAATTCAAGCATTTTGCCACGCATTACAACAAAAAAACATTTAGTAAGGTGATGCACGCGTAGAATTCATTCGAGCTTCAGGTATTTGAAAAAGGGAGAAAGATATTGAAAATTGTTTGTAGCTGTTTCTCATACCAACATTACAAAGCCACCCCTAAGCGCACTGTCGGCCTGCGTCGTCAATCACTGAACATAAACAACATGGCGACACACCATTATTTGTCGAGGATCTGTTACGAGGCGTTACAGGGCCCCCTTCGTTGCTGTCTATTTGGACTTGATCGGAAGATGGAAAAAAAACTCTCGACTTTTTTAAATAAAACTGAGAAAGCCGGAAATTATGAATCTTATGAAATGAAATTATGAATTATTATCCTACAACGATCCGACCAAATAAACTGGCATATGGTTACACATTTTGCAGCACATGGATTTTTTTACATCACCATTTGTAAAACCATTTGCCAGGCTTAAAAGATACACCGCATAACGCCTCAGGTATCGTGCGGCGTTGCATGTTACAGTACCGCCGGTATACTATCGGAGATTCTATAACGCACTGTATGCGTTACAGGCACACGGATTTTGAAATGAGATATTTTTTTAGGTCAAACGGTCGTACATCACAGAATTATGTTTAAAAACGTATACTGTTTCATTTGTCTGCTTTGCTATCCTCCGCATATAAATGTGTCTCCTGCGACCCTTGTCATCAGCAGCTTCGTTTCATCGGTGTTCTTTCTATACGTTGCGACAGTGTCCACAGCTCAGCTAAGGCCCAGTAAATAGGTAGCGGCCTATCGTATGCTACTTACTACGCACAGTTAGGTCCAAGAGACAACGCACGATAAAGTTTTGTTTAATTATTATGATCAGCGCGACGCATGCGTTTCATTTACTGTATCTCAAAGCAACTAACTAGCTGTAGTTTCCGGTCTTTATATATTTATATCGATAATAGTGAAGAGGGTATCTATGACAGTTGGGCTGTATGCACCATACTAGTTAAAGCGGGGCAAATTACGCTGCCGGTCCGGGAAACGATGCTTCGGCTTTGCGTACTATGTACGTACATCATCTATACGTTCTTGGCAAGAACAACCACAACGATCGAACCTGCCGGGAGCCAGAGTATCTGCCGCTCAGAAGATGCTTCGAACGAGAACTACATATCAGTAATAGTCCGATACTCCGAGACGTCTCATCCATGGAATAATGCGTTTCTCGGAAATACGTGCATGACCCAACGTTAACATGCGCCCGAAACTACAACGGGACAAAGGCATACATTTCGTTGATCTGAAAAATTGATCATACAAGCATTGATTGTAGTGAATATTCACAAAAGTACCCACTTAGCAAACGTATCAGACAGCCGTTTTGACTTTCGGTGTAAACGTTCTAAAGGCGAACAGCCGTGAGGACACAAAATAAATGTTAAATCAAAGATACTTCCCCGTATTTGCATAGCTGCACAACCTCTACCTTTATCCTGTGAACCTTAGTTTTAGCCGCGTTGCTAGTTAAAGTCTAGTTATTCGCTATGGTTTCTACCGTCCATTTGATAGCCGGACGTGCTCAGAGGTCATCGACACTACGACTTTGAACGCACGGCCCGCTGGTTAGTTATCCATTTAGTTTTCCCAACTGTCTGTCACTTAGCGAAAGTTAACAACATTGCTGGTCCAATCGCCTATAGCGAGTTCTCATCTGGGCTACGAAAGAAGTCTGCAGCTTTGGTCGGCTGCGGTTCGGCGCAGGTGGCCGCAGGGAGGCCAAACCGGAGGCAGAGCACGACCAAGGTCAACGAAGGCCAACGCTGGAAACTCAAACCTCAAAGAATAGAACGATAAAGAAAATGTCCTAAGGCAAGAGGAAGACAAAGAAGATAAGACAGAACTATAGAACGCCAGTCAGAGTACATTAGCGACTGACAGTATTGGCGACCGTAAATGTAGAGGTTTAACGGCTTGGCCGCATCTGTCGCCGATGCGCTGTATCTGAACTGGCAGTAGACAGCTTCTCAACAATTGCATTGCTGAAGGTTCATTCCTTGCGTTGAGGCAGGTTGCTTCCCAGATTAACCCAGACAGACAGACAGACAGCGCTTTCATAGCAAATTTACATATTAAAGGAGCACGGCCGAAAGGCACGAAAAACACACGGGCTTACGGTGAATAGGGCTGGCATTGAAATAAGAAATAGGCAAAAGTAGCTGTAACAGTAACGCCAAACGAATTCGGTGGCTCGCTCAGTACGAACACGCTTGTCTCTAAACGGTGGCAGTACATCGGCATGACGGTACGCGAATAGTGAAGGCATTGCTACGTACTCTGTCCTGTACAGAATAACGCTGACGGCGGCATTCAGCGTGGCGCTAACTTTCATTTGCATCTTCTGAGCCACAAAGAGTACAATAGCTCAAGAAAGATTAGCATATGCACGCATGTACGTACGCCGTCGAACAGCCGCACGATAACTACTGTCATAGGGTTTATAGGCGGGTTTTGTCGTGCTGTAGCGTTCATATCAAGAATATCAGAATCAACAATAACAACAACGGCAAGTCAACAGCTACACGAGCACTTTACGCGAAGGGCGACTACAGTTTATGTCAACATAAACGGTAGCACCAAACCGCAAGATGAAGCAGCTTGAAGCTGATCGTGGTCTTCATTGTCGGTTGCAGTGGCTCAGTTTGTTATGGGCTTCATTTGAGCACGCAGAGAACAACCCGGTACTAGCCGCTATTGATTGTAGCGTTGCTATAATTGTACGAGATGCTTTGCTTTCTGCAGGCTGCAGCTGCCCGTCTGAGCTTTAGCAGTAGCTATATTATAAGGCTACATGCTGCTATCTGGTCATACTATTTGTATGGCTATTACCACCAGAGAAAAGGTGGGTGCCCGAGTGGCAAAGCCCTTTTTTGAGGGGCGGATAGGGTCCGAGAGTCGATGAGATGAGCTAAAGGTACCGATGACGACGGCTAGCGAACTCCGCCGCAAAACATTGAAGAGAGAAGCTGGGAAAGAATTTCCGAGAGTCTAGCAATATTTTGCCAGGGAGGTAGGTTAGCGCGTGTAGCGTATACTTACACATGTAGGTAGACTTGCAGCACGAAAAAAGACAGACCCATGGAAATGCTGCACAGTTTTAACAATCGTAAGGAAAGCATTCAGAAAGCGGAGAGATACGCGTGTCTAATGTATTTGCTTTGCGGCTTATATAATATATTTGCTATATCGAGGGTCAGTAATAGCGAAAGCTTAAGAGGGACCCGTTGAAGATGGGCGATCAGCGAACGAGTTACCCAACCGGTTGGGAAAAGACTAGAAATAATAAATAAATCATTATCCCAACTGGGTTTCGTGAAACGAAAACGAACGCAATGACCCTCTCACTTCGCAGGGAAATAAAGAAATCAATTATGCGTAAACAATTAGCGAAATAGAGTATTCTATATTAGCTGGCAGATGTGGAACGATCTGACAGAACATTTATAGAAAGCCTATTTACTTTGGTGGCAAGCTGATGACAGTTAAATCGTATACATTACTCATAATGTAGAGTGTAGAAACGAAAATCTAACAGCTTAAATTTTAAATTAAAAAAAAAAAGTAAAGAAATAGTTACGGACAGAAAAAAGCGGGAAGTATTACCCCTAAATTGTATCATTGTTTGGAGTTATTTTCCCTAGAAATTGCGGTACAGGAAACTATGTTTGTCAAAGCGGATGAAAACGTGGAGAGCACATAGATGATGGAACATGAAAAGATTCCGACAGAAGCCTGTAGAAATCGATAACAGCGAGGTGTGGCAAACGTGTATAATAGATGCACCGGAGGCTTTCGGAGTCATCAAATTCATCCTACCTGTAATGACAGTTCATGTTGTGAAGATCCTCCGAGGGATTCATGGTCGTTTTGAAGTCTTCGAATATGATTAACGGTTTCCTGGAGGATCGCGCATTTGTCGGGTTTGACAGATAAAGGATTCGCGCCACTTACGCCTGGCGTTCCTCCAACAGGCGCTGAGGTGTTCCCATACTCAGCACTAACGTTTGAGATCAGCTCGGCTAACTCCTCGAGGTAAATGTTCTCCTAAAGGATGACGATGAAATAATTAAGAGATAAATTCAGCTAATTATCACGTTCCATAAACACATTTAATGACTATGGGAGTTATTTATAATGTGTACAAATGTACGAATATGCGAAATAATCATACTTAGCAGTTTCTATGGGTGGCATACTGTAACTTATATAACTATGTTGAATTTACCGCGTGTCAAATCCCGAACGAGCCATGCCCGCTGCCTAAGTTATCCTACAAGAGTCTGTAACGCAGGTTTTCTGATTTGACTGATAACTATTTTTACGGAAAAGATCGATAGTCGTACTGTGTTCCGTCAATGATTTTATTTATTGAATTCTTCTCAACACTCTGTACATTTCAACATTCGTAAAGGCCATCCACTCAAACAGTAGCGAACGCCCGCTTCTCTTCAACGCCTCACCGAGACAACTGAAAACAATTATAGCGCCTTAAATATTGACAAATAGCCAATACGTGCAATGGGGCAAGCGTGCTATACGTTTGTTTAGCACTATATAACGATGTCAAACTATTTGTATGGCGCAGGTTCCCTCCAGTTAAAGTTAGCTGGATAAAGTTGAAAAAAGCAAATAACTATATCAATTCAGTCGTATAGCTCCTTGGCCAGATGATAAACTTTTATCAGTTGCTACTTGAACCTAAACAAACTATGCAATATGACATGTACAATAAGAAAAATCTATGTGACACTCCCTAATCCGAGAACGTATAAGCTGTAGGAGTTGTTTAGATAGAACGAATAGAGACGACGTTATTTTTTTTCAACGCTAAAAAGAAGATAACAACTGACCCAGTCATAATTAACTCTGCGACATGTTATGGCTAATTTACTGTAGTTAACATAAATAGAACACTGCAATGCGATATGTCGTGTCATAAAGCAACAAGTAAAAACTTCTGACGAATCAGAGCTAGAACACGCACCGCCTCATACACTTCCTTCTACAATTGACCAGATCCTCCAGAGGCCTTCGATCTCGTACGGAACTGGAGGCAAAATCGGCCCGATTATCGATCGATGACTACGTAACCACTATACACTACGGAGAGCGACGCTCAATGAATCCAGACGTATGCACAGCGCGCCGTTTCCGGCAAATGCTCCTTCTTGAAGCGTGTATCAGCGGAGTTAACGAGTGAGCCAAGCATATCTAAGCAGATTATTGCAGGATTTCGCGGCCGCGTGTGACCCGACAGTCAATGAGAGCGTTGCCGTCGTAGTGCAAGGAGACGTCGTCTCTCGAGGCGAAGGAAGCGGGCGAATCTCTCAAATGGTAAAAATGACGTTTAAGTGGGTATGGGGACTCTAAGCACAAACTTAACCTAAGTATTAGCTGCTCATGGCTAATCATAAGGGAAAGCGTTGGGCTTGAGAATTTCTAGTATTCATATTGATAGCGTTGAGGCGTATTATATCTTAAAGAAAGCTTCTTTTCTTTTTCAACAAATACGCTGCTACAGTATGATACGAGAGAAAGAGTAAAAACATTTTTTTCCTCAAGCTTAAAAAAAAATAGCTGCGTTAGCGTTAACCGCTTTTATCAACGCTTTACACTATGCCCCCAATAATGTTTGTCATTATCGATTCTGTTGGCAATAGTGAGACGGGCACCCAACGCTTTTCAGAAGTTACGCGAATGATAATTATATTTTTAGATTGTTCGTCTTTTTTCCAACGCCTTGTAAGAGCAAACTAAACCCAGTATGAATTTCTCATGGGGTTGTAGGACAAGAAGCGAAAATTGTTTCCCCTTGACGTTTCTGCCCCCCTGAACTGAATTATCGCCGTACCCCCCAGTTAAGCAGTCGTATGGAGTCATTGCCGTACACTCGTACGAATATGCTGACCATAAGTGATAATGTCGTCAGTTTTTTACCCGCCTCGAACATCATAGCTCAACCTAACTGTAGTGGCAATAGCAGCCGATAGAGCACAGCAATGGCCCGCTACAGGTAAAGTGTCGTATAACGTATTTGCTGCAGTCAATGGCCGGTTTCTGTTGCTCGCTTTGCTTTTAATAGGATTTGTATACAATAAATATGAAAATCAGCGCAGTCGTCGTCGTCCCGCGTAACCTTCTGTCCTTAATCATCAGTCTGACACAATCAAGGGCGAACGAAGGATCGTGGCGGGGGAGTCGCATTAATGAACTGTCCGACAATACCAAGAAAAGGTCTGTTGTTGTAGCCTAAACATTAAATACTCAACTGACAACTATATACTGCATCGTACCCAACTTCCCCCTTTCTTTCGCTCTCTCTCTCTCTCTCTAGAGGCTTTTCGTTAGGAAGAACATAGCAAGTCTGGAATTGACATTCTCCTCTCGCCTAGCTTGTATATCTCAGGGGATTCAGGCTGCAAAAAGATCCTCTTTACTACAGTTCTATAGGATATGCATACAGATATGATGAAACTTATAATTTGACTAGGATCAAGATGGTTACGCATAACTAATTAATAAAACATTTTCAAAAGCCTAGATCTACCGTGATCGGCAACTGCCAAAGACGCCCATCATCGCTACTATATCAACAAACCTGTTCTCTCCGATGCTTCTCGTTGAGGCATTTCTTGAGTTGAGATCCCTGCATCGAGGCAGTAGCCGCGCTATTTGCGCTCGACATTATTCCGGCGGTTGTGGTACCTGCACCAGACAAAGGACCTGCGCCGGCCTGGCCACCCAAATGGCCACCGTGGCCTCCGGAATGTCCACTACCTAACGAAGCCACAAGCATTCGTGTCGCTCCCGCATCCTCAACAGAAGAAGCAGAACTTGCTCCAATACCGGATGGTGGACCTGAACCTGACGAGGCAGCCTGGTTATCAGACGCTCGTCGTCGGCCAGTGCCCCGTTTCAATTGCTGCTGCTGATGGACAACCACCTGTTGCTGAGGGGGTAACTGTTGTCCGGGATGATGTTGCGATTGAGGTTGTTGTGGAACGCCCTGTAAGAAGTGGCCACGAAAAATGGGTGGGTGAAAGGAAAGATTACCAGATAAGAAGTCTCTGCCGCGAAAAGGCGACGTAGGAAAATTTTAGAGACTTGTTATATATATATAACAAGTCTCTAAAATATATATGCATATACTATATAAGCCTATATGTATATATATATATATATATATATATACATGTAGGCTTTTTAATAATGATGTAGGCTTTATTTGAAGTAATGTATCAGATGCATATGTTAAAATTGTGAAAATGTTAAGCGCCAAAAGTAAAACTGATGTCATCCTCTTAGCTCAATTGTGAACTCTGTCTGTTTGGGAATACGGAGGAGGACCACTCGATATATTAAACAATGATATTTACGTTAATAATTTTTTGAAGAAAGCTATATAATACGATCAGTTATCACAACAGTTGTAACTCGTCGGCTTCTTTCTTCCCGATTTCCAGAATCCTCATGGAAAATACGTGCATATTGAGTTGTGGTTCTATGACGTGACTGCAAATTTGCCAAAGGCCGAAGGAGAAATGTTTTCTATATTGGACGGTGTGGCGCTGGTGATAATAGTCGGCCTCTTCTATAACGTTTCACAAATCGCTTTGTACAGGGGATTATATTACCTGAGCGTGCGATTTCGAACAGCACATCCCCGACATATAGCTGCCCTATTTCCTTGACGAATGTCACTCGACAATGCCCACCCACCCACCGTGCTCCACTTCAAATTGCCCCGTCGTTGCTGCGGCAGCTGTTGCTGTTGTGTGATACAAATATGATAGCGATACACACATGGGATAAAACTAGCAGCGGGTGTAATGTGATCCTCAGTGTCCCGAATATCCAACCTTTTTGCCCCAGTCTAAATTTAACCATGCTATGATAACCTATACGAGAAATACGTCGAATGACATACTAAGTCTAAGTAATTAAAACAGCTGGGCCATCTTACCTTAAACTATTGCCTAAAATCTTGACGTGGTAAATATTGTTATTGCTATAACTTATTACTGTCATAGAAGTTCGATTCTAACTTCATACAAGTGTATGATAAAACCAAGGCTGTAACGATAAGTAAATGTTGAATGAATAGCGTTGAGTTCTACGGCTCTGTTTAACATTATCAGATTTTAATTGAAAAATTTAGAGGCACTTATTAAAATCGGGTATGAGCGAGTTCGATGTTTCCATGGGGAGGCCAGTATCAGTCAAGCAGGATTCGTATGTTTGATCAGGGCCCTACAACAGAACGCTGTCGGACTTATCAGGGATACGCTAAAAGATCAGACCTCGGACGCGTAAATAGTATGTCACAGCACTCTAATTACTCATTTCGTACGTATTTTCAGCTGGATCCAGTGAAACGCCTCTAGTTAATACAAATTGCATAGCTTTAGAGAAAACCTATACATTCATCCTCGCTGTGACTGATACGGCAGACCAGTGTACGCTAAATCCAAGAAGAAGCCGCGTTGTGTATGTGTTGTAATTTTGTCTCTAATTGAATAACTTAACACAATTATATTCTGAATACATTTTCAATTTTAGCACCACATCTGACCTAGTGCCATGGTACCCAAGCGGTATTTGCTCAATGTATCAGTAGCTGCATGCGTTCTACGTACCAAAATAGAGTGTAGCTAGGGCCTGATAAATGTACGTCGCATTTGCTTGTACGTACGCAACGAGGTTATTGCCTGGCCATGCTTTCTCCATAAGGTATCTAAGTTCATATTCTTAGCGGGTCAACAACAACTGAAAGCTAACGTGGGTGGCTGTACATCACGGGATCACTACGGATAGAATTGTATGTGTAATAACAACTAGGCCTTGACAGGTCCTGCGATTTGCCCAGACCTGATACGTTCTTAGAACCGTAAGTTCGAACAGAGTTAGTCCATGGAACAACAACATAATGAATGAGAAACTTTGAAGGGAAATAGAACAAAGAAAGGGAACGAAATCAATACTTACAATTCTCTAATCAATCAAATTTGTAATGGGTACTTTTTTGTTGACGATAAGAAAAAGTTAAGCAACGAACTGTAATAGTGGAACTTATTTTGATGATAACATTATGTTATTGTTAATATTTTTTTAAGCAAGTATTAATAATAAGAAACATAAATTCGAAATTGTTCAAAAAAAAAAAAGAAAAACTGTTTTATTAGGATCAAACTTGGATTAATTGTCGAAAAACCTCTCGGTAAAGGGTATGATGATTTAATATCACAGGATAACTATTCTTAAAGACATCGATCGAGGCCAATAGGTTAACATAGCCCACTGAATAATGACTAGAATGTAAGCGGATTTCTACAAATTAGAGTTGGGTCATTGTACAAGTAAGTCCCCTCCGATCAAAGATGAGCATATGATTGCAATTAATATTATTATTATTATTATTATGATAATAATAATAGATAGCTTTCTGTCGTGTGGGTAACACGCAACCGATAAGCTTACCAGGCTTGTTGCACAGACACCACCCAAGTTGTAGAAATTGAGCCAGGACAGATCGGCCACCTAGGACACGTCAAGTATCTTGTCATACCCCATTTCTAGCTAATCTTTCCCGCTTATCCCATCTATTTTACCTCCTAATTTCTACTGGGAGCAGGCCTTCCTTGGGCCGTATTAATGCCACAGTGACTGATTACTCGTGATTGAACAACCGAACAGTCATGGAAATCATGTGAAGTAGCCTGATTTTTGCTCTCGCATAGGGCAAACCAATCCAAGAATTTCTTCTATAAAGGAAATGCTAATTTAGTGCACCAACTTTGACTTTAAGTTTTTTAAGGTAAATATTTTGCAAAGGTTCAAACGTATTAGCAGCCCCTCTAAAATTTCCTACTCGACTTGTAACAAACATATCTATATATTTCTATTCCTTTTTATGATAAACACGTGTTAATTTTTTTCTTATTGCCACTACGTTACAGGCTTGCTAGCTTGTTTATGTTAATGTTACCTATACGTATTTAGGCTGCAGGCGTTGCCAGCGGGAGTCGTATTGTAGCTTCCCTGGTTCAGGCGGTCGTCTCGGTTAATAACAATCCTTAATGCGGTCATAATGCTTATGTTAGTGGTAACTGAATTGTGGCAATGCTGAATCTGAACATATTGACTTATCGAAAAAGCATTGCCCGTTTTAAAGCAAACATTTTTTATACTTTGCTATAATAACATTAAGTTACATATGCGCCATTTCGATCAATGATCCTCTGCCATTTTTCTGCTAACTACTATCAATTTTACCACTGTAGAGCTTCTATGGTATCTGGAAGAAAGATTGTGACGAGCGGTTTTTTTAGTGCACATTTTCTTAAATTTTATTTTTATACGCGTATCGTTGTCGTATGTAACTTACGTTTTATCACCCGTGTCCGCCCTAGAAATGGCTCGATTTCATTACGAATGGAAATATAATTAAGTAAGTTATTTCACACAGACTTTTCCTTGGAATTATCTAGTGATAAATGTTTAACTGCTAGACGATATTATGACTACTCACGTGTTGGCCCTGCTCAGCTTTCCTAACACTTGTATCAACCTCCTCCGTAATCGTTCAACTACTACGAGAAACATCTTTTGCCTCGATATTTACAGGATGAAAGTGGCATCTTTGGACTATGAAAAACGGTTAGTACCCCTTCGACAACCCAGTGAATGAATATATGTATATATACATTATATGTATGTTTCTGTATGAATTGTAGGCCAGAAATCGTGAGGCGGCTCGGGTGTCTGTGTATGATCGTATCTAAATCCATACATCGTTTTGCTTTATTCGTGTATTGTCGCACCATAGCTCCCTGAACGGCGAGCGGCGCAGGTCCGAGGGGCATCATTGTTCCGTGAGGACCCTGTTGTCGTTGCCCCCCAGGATGGCCGTGCGGGCCGTGGCCTGCGCTCAGCCCTGGAAGACTGCTCAGAGCGCCGCTCAATGAATTCGAGGGCCCAGTGCCCCCACCGCCCTGTACGCTCATCTGAAATACAAAATTATATAATAAACAAAAGGAAACACAAACAGCAATACCCGAGAACCACCAGGCACATACACGGAGGCGAACAGGCGTTATGTATAGAGGTCCGCAGGAATTGCAGCAGAGGAAAAACACGTTAGTAATTTTATATAAGATGATGACTATAATAACGTATATTTTTCGATTATTAACAATTTATTCTTTTTCAAGCCCAGTGGGGCAAACTCTATTTAAAGAAAAAAAAAAACAAGTCGCACTCAGATATCTATTTAGTGCAACCAAAAGATTCTGTTGGTAAAAATGTGTTCAGCTAGGACGACCATTTACGTTAAATTAGCATTTCGAAAAGTCATATTCCATTCGATATCAACAGGAACATACAAAACACAAGTCATGCACATAAAACATTCATTAACTTATACGTTGCACGAGTTTCAAACTTCCTTCTTCGAACTGACGGATGTTCAGCGTTGTAACCAACTGAGATCCTCCCTCTGGATCTTCGAGTATCTTGTCTACGATTTTACCCAAGCTTTCTAATTTACAAAGGAGCTGCATCTGATAAGCCGTAGCACACTGCAATTCTTGATAAATAAGGTACCAATAAATTGATAAGAACACCTCGATGATACTGCAGCGTGCGATGCGACGTAGCACAACAAGCTGATCCAGACGATCCTGGGGCTGGGCATCATTTTCTCCATGCCATTGACGAGTATCGCACCCTCAGCGCAGCCCAACTACGGTGTCACAGTCCACAGTATAATGGTTGTATGAACGAATATGCATGCTCGATAGGAGTGGCAACGGTGTAGATCCATCTACATTTTCGCCCATAAACGACGTTGCCATTAAACGGACGTGCTCCCATACGCAACGAGTCGTATGTTTTAGCCCCGCCGAAAAGCTTTGATGGAACTTGTCCGTAACTGTCTGAATATTTGATCAGTGGCCAAACGGAGAAATGGCGCAGCCGTCTGAGTGCGACGGAAACTATGATCCGACGGGGAACCGGCGAACAACGAGAATACCAAACAGAGGACGACGTATCGACAAAAATGCACAGGAGAGAAAAAGGGGACAGTCTGGTAAACGCTTTCCTCTATGTGGATAAACGTCACATCCATACGAAAGTAGACAAAATAGTATGATAAACAAGTACGCATTGGTAACCGCAATTATGCCAATGAGTTTTTTCATTGGATGAAATTTTAGATCAGAAAGTAAGCTACGCTTTAGAGAACTCATACAGTCTCAATAGAGAGAAGATAATCGAAATGAAAGAAACGTCACGTTTATCTGAAACTATTTTCCTTGTCGCAACTTGCTCATAGGGATATCATACAAAAACATATGTTTTTTGAATTTGAAAATCAGTATGTGCTCTGTGTGAATCGTACGCCCCTCAACACCAACCTAAGAAAGTTAAGGTATATATATAATTTTATATATAAGAAAGAAGGTTGTATATAAAGTTATGCAAACCCTGTGAGGCTCCATTGATAGGCGCTTAAACAAAAAATAACTTTTTGCAGAACTACACCGTCACTTATAAATCATATCTAGTAACTGCTTCTCAATGATATCCACGTATCTACACAAAGTATAGATACGTGGATATCATTCCCGTTTCACCAATAGATCATCTCTACGTCTGATGACGCCGCGACGATGGTTGATAATTTGTAGCACAAATAACATGGTCATTATTTCCTTGGGATCTAGTTGGAAAACCTTAATACAAGCACCCAGTTCTGTTTTCTTTATTAAAAACTTCGTACGACAAGGTTACACGACTACTACGATGCTGTGGCCGACGAAAAGCCGGTAAAGGTCCCACGTGTCCTAACACTTAACGTAGAGCTATGTTACCTTGTCTAATGAAAGTTACATGACTTACGTAACAGGACCATTAGTGAGTGATGAAGAAGGACCACTGTGTCTCGGCTGGCGTTAACCATGTTATCATTCTTTGATCCGCTGTATAAAGCCAAAGTAAAAGTATAGAGCAGGTAATGAGGTATTCAAATAGGAGAAAGAAGTCTAAAAGCTATGTCTAAAGGCAGACACTTAAAGAATCAACTATATCGTATTGACCATGTTGTTGGTCGCACTGCATGACAATGCAAGTTGATAGAAAGGCAGTGGTAACGTTTTCTGCTAATTGCCAGTGACATGTGTTATTAATAGAAGCTTGTGCTGAATCGAGCACAGTAAAAAGCTACGTATTATTTACCGATTTCACAGATTTGCCAATGGGCAAATGCGTATTGATTGAGACAACGGTCCAAAAGGTGGCATCGGACCCACAATGCTTTTTAAGAGACACGGGATTTATCATTGTTAATGACGGTGGCGGCGGCTTTCCAATATCAAAGCATGGAAAAAACATGCTCTCTTTATGGAAAAGGTACGTGCGTGAAATGTCATGTTTAAACGAGAACGTTCCCGTCTCTGAATGAAGACAGTATCATCTAATTTTTCGAACTGGACGGGAAGTTCAAAGGAAAATTCTGCCTAGTATTTCCCGTTCACATCTATGGAAAGCTGCTAATAATAGCTGAATTGAGATTCTTTTAGTCTTATTTGAAACAAACAGGTGAATAGTTAAGGGATTACATGAGGTCAGATTCTACTGAACGTAATGAAGGCGACATATGTGTAATTGGTAGGCATAGGGGTCGAAAGCCTACATGTAGGCCTCTTCCTGCAGACGGGGCATATAGCCTTTTACAATCAATTCTAGAGATTGATGCACCGCTGTGTCTGCTTAGTTGCGCTGCGCCCCTGTTAATAGACAAGTTCGATTTCTCTTGACAGACAAAGTAGTCAACTACATATGTGGGGTGGTAAGTTCAATTTAATTTCAAGCCATTTTGCACGGGTTACAGGAGCACTAATCACAGTTATTTCGGCAAAATGTTACATCACGAAAACGTGTATCTTGCATAGCGAATTGTATTGGAATACTGAAACAGTAAACTGCGTAGCAGTAAGTCGACAGGCCGTAAAAGAAGTTGGCATCAATACAGGATGTAACGTTCTTCTAATTGCCATCGTTATCTATAGCTAGTAATAAACCAAATCATTTGCTTATTTCGTAACAGTATAGCCAAACCTAAACATAATAATCAACGAAACTTAAATAGAAGACAGGTGACTGTAGAACAAGGGAAGTTAATATATTGCATATATAATATACAGGTAGTACATATAAATTTCGTGAATTTGCTGAAAAATAAAAGAAAAGCAAGCTATATTGGTAGTACGAGGCAAACGAGTAAATATACGAACGCTTTTTCCTTCAAAAAGTTTCCTTCGTCTTGCGTTAGAATGCTTTCCATACTTTCGACAGGGCAACAACTATGCTAGCATGTATCATTTCTGATCACGGTAACAATAAAAAGCCCATCATATAGCGGTTCATGATATTAATAAACTTTAATTCTTTTCATTTTCGTAATTTCATACTACAATGTTCTCCATGTTTCGCGTACGGTGACATAAATACAACCTGACTCCCAACTTTTCTACTGTTAAGTTCAGCGAAATGATTCGATCGATAGATCACGTGTGAGATTAACCAACCCAAAAAACGATCATGAGACTTATTTCCTGCAATAAAAAACAGTGAGCTCTGCTTGTCTCAGCAGGACGCCACTTTGTAATGATGTTGCAACGGCCGCAAATTTGACAGCAGGCTATATTTGTCGGATACGTTCGCGTCCACTAATCCGAATCGACCTGACCTGGCTAGCTTTACGCAGATATTGCACTTGTAGAGAAACCCCTTAGATTTTGTTCAGTATAGCTTTATTGGTATTAGAATACCTAAATTTTTGTGCCTGCCAGGTCATCAAAACGTCACATGATGATATCCGTCCTAACCATAGATGTGTATTGTTTCTCATAATCACAGGGTGACAGTTAACGCATCGGGAAAGGTCCATCCGTAGGTTCTACTACTGCAAACCCATCAATGATGGCTTTTGGGTTTACATCGATAGGCAGATAATTTCTTTTTTGTATTTTTCCATACTATGTAATTATTCTCTCTAGCAGACTTGTGGGACATGGCAAATAATCCTGTAATGCGCATCGACTTCCACAATTTTGCTGAAAAATAGAAACGAACAACGTAAAGCACGGAACCTTACCCCCTATCGTCTTTACAGGTCCATTCCATTCGAATGGACCCGGTAATTGCATTGAAGTTCCCTTTCAAATTAAATATTAATCACATACTTACAGGGCGGTATTTACCAGAACTTCCAAACATAAATGGAGCACTATAAGACAAACGAATATACCATATTGACATAAAGTAGAGGGAGTGGGGTGGGGGGAACAAAGCAACGCGGGAACTTCCCCAGTGTCCTTTAAAACACAATTTTCAATTGTTTTCGGTTAATTCACTTCATCAACATTAAACGCTCAACATTAATTGGTAAATAATACATTTACTGTTTTCCATTTATTGTTAAGTTGTCAAAAGAAGTTTGCTTTTCGAAAAAGAGCCCGCTTTACTTATGAGTCGGAAGAGGACAGAAGTAGGTTTTCAACAGCCGCATTTTGACTTTCTACAAGAGAAACCAGGGTTTAACGCCGCGATGCGCTCATGAACTATAAAACAGCCATTCGTTATTATTAGTAGTTTTCTTGCGGTAGCTTGTCGTTAAGAAATGGCGATCTAGAGGCGTTGTTTAGCGCGTCAACGTGACACAAACACTAGCGAACAACGGTAGAACCACCTTCTCGCGCATCTTTCTGTTCCAATCGGGGCAAAAAAAGACACATCTTGTTACAGCGTTTACTAGACACGCTGTTCCTGTTGCTGCCACTGGTGCTAATGATGCATTATTAGATTGTGGGTAAATAGATAAAATGATGGGTACGAGAGGCGATTCTTACGACAATGGTGAGCGTCTAGGGGCGGGCGCGGGAAAGCGTTTGCTGAAGGCTAAGAAAACATTACGCCAAGGATGAAAACGTCTGTCTAAGCG